GAGGTGTATGCTGGTAAAGGGCATTCTACTGAAAATGAAGGTCTTGGTTATAATGTGGTATGGAGACAATGCCAAAATGTACCACCAAATATGTCCGTTAATTGCATTTGATAAATTTTTTTACCGGATGCAATTTCATGGATGATTTGTTTACTAATGGCATTTATGCAGTGGGAACAGTGAGACTCAATTGAGTCGAGCTGCCTGATGTTTTACGAAGAATGACCGCGCTCACAAACTTAATAAAAACGAATTTGCAGCACTGACCGCAGGACCAATATCTGCAATAAAATGGGTCGACTCACGTGTAGTTACTATCTTGATTACTGCTCATGATCCGAGAGAAACGAATTATGTTTGTGAAACGTACCCAAAAAGATGGGACTAGAAAAGATACGTTAATCCTCACAGCTATAGCATCGTATACGCTTACTATGGGTGGAGTCGATCATTTCGATCATTTCAGATCATAACATAACATAACATGACGCCTTTTATCCCCGAAGGGGTACATTATGCCACTGTACAATATAACACCCACTTTTCACTATTTATGTTATGAGTCCCATGTAATAGGGGGTGAGCCTATTGCCATATACCGGGCACAATTTCAGACTCCGTGCTACTACTGTGATTTTTTAGAAAAACCCAGTAATACTTTGTCCGGCCCTGGAATCGAACCCGAAACGCCATGCCCGGCAGTCGTACTTGCGACCACTCGACCATTGAGGCATTTCAGATTATCTTACCCTATAAACAGAAAGTCCAGAAAATTTTGAACGAGATTGTTCTTGTTTATGTTAGATGCAAGTGTTATCAATGCTTATATTACAAATACAACAATACATCCAGCTACAGTTCACTTGCATAGGGATTTTCTGCTGAAATTGGCCCGTGCCTTGATAGATACGACCAAAACACGCACTTTGGTTCAGTTTGAAAACAAAAAAGGAGGTAATTTTGACGTACAAAAGATAACTCTTATAAAAGTTGTCGCTTTTGTAGCACAAAAGCTAAAGAAAAGAGAACGAATATTAGATGCTGCAAATACATTGTATTATGTACTCAAGAGTGCTTTAAAAAATGTCATCTTATTGAAACTCGCCATGTAACTAATGTATTTCTCCTGTTTTGTATCATTATATGATTATTACTTTTTATGCAATAATAAATATTCTAATAATTTATTTAGTATGTCTCACGAAAGTTACAATACAAATATAACGCAATAACGTTGGCGATCTGTGTAGTGTATACAAAGTCAACTGACAAGTGTCAACAACACCTTGTGATTTTAATTAAATTCCTAGTTTTTTTTCTAATTTCATTAAAAGTAAACTATATCAGGACACTTTAAAACTTATATATGTCAAGTGATAGTGTTATCTAAGTGAACAGTTCAGTGTTTGTGTAAATACGAGGCTATAAAGCGGCTGCTAAATATCTGTGGTTTTGTTGATACTGGAGCCAAACAGTACTATAAAATATACGAAAGCTGCAACTGTGGACGGTTTGGACAACATATTTGGTGCGAGTCGGCCGGTGCAAATGGAAATTGGTGTTGAAGGGAAAATAAGATCATCTTAAATTCATCATTTTCTTCAATATGTTAATTAAGCTTTGCTCTCTAAATAGATGTAAGAAGTTTGTAAATTGTGGGTAGGCACGTAATCGGCCGATAGTTTTTGGGTTTCGTGGTACTTCCAGATTTATGGAGCAGGTTAACCCTGTCGTAAAGAATTGGGGCAAAGATCCAGACTCCAAAGCTGACTGGAATTGAGATGCCAAGCAACTATGCGAACTGATAAACTATCTTACGGATTGGCTGCTTTGGACACATCTTCTGATGTAATAAGAATTGGTTCCATTTCTGGTCAGTTCGCATTTTCCCTCGACCTCCTCAATCCAATCCCCTTCGATGTGACTAACAGATGCCGACCAAATGCTGCGCGAGAACGAATTCATGGCATCAACATTTGGTAAGCACGCATCAGTCCTAGTCTGTTCTTTTTGCTCCCAAGTTCTATACACCCACCTTTGATCCCTTTGGAATGTGCGATTCTGGGTGTATCGTTTCACTCTCTTCTTATACCGTCTAATACGGTTCGCCCATGCATAAATCTTCTGTTTCAGGAAGTCAACACGCTCCGTAATATATGAGACGTAATTCTGAGGCCTAATATCAGTCCCCAAGAACGCCCGCCTCACGAAGCGCATAACTCTTGGGTGCGTGTTGCCCTCCCTGAAACAGACTAATTTGGCAATGAGTGTTCTAGCTTCATCGATACGTCGTTCAATCCTGCACTGCCAAGCTGGTACAGCTGGTTTCTGCCGCGTGACATTGTCTTTTTCGATTAGTTTGACATGTGCCACACGACATGCTGCTATTGCTCCACAGTACAGAATTGAATGAGTATCGACAAGATCTTTGCTGGTATCAAAATAATTTGATGGCTCCAAATCTAAAGCACACATAAGCGCCCTATTCTTCTTATGCATGGGTAAACGAGGTAAGTGTGGTCTAAGAGAGGGTGATACGAACCGGTATTCCTGAATTGCATCTTCCAAAGCTCTCCTCAACTCTTCACTGCATTTGTGAGTACTGCTTCCGTAGTTCTGTCATCATTCGGCGTATCAACAGAATCAACATCCACTTTTCCTTGCTGTATAGTTTGCGATAGCAGTATGATGGCGGTATGATGGCTCCTAAGTACTTCACTTCGCAGTCGATCAAGCACGATATCATCCAACATACGATTACGAATGACCCGTACCTGATCCGACTGTCGTTGCGCCGATACGTTGATGGTTGGTTCGAGCACCTGAAACATAGCAAGCATTCTGACACGGTAGGCTGTCAGGTTACTTCCTCCCTCTGTTGCCCCAAAATATGCGCGCATGACATTTTCATTTATGGATCGTGTCCATTTCATGCGCGACACATTACCACCGGGCGCTGGGACCTCTCCCGAAGCCAATGGGCTTCGTGGTCCTAAGCAACTCGATGGCCGACGACCTCCCCGGCGACGGCGTGAAGGTGGTGGCGTCGTTGGCGGGGAGAAGTACTCGTCACTCGAACTCGACGCGCCAGCATCAACATTGATGATTATAGTTTTTCATTTTGTACATTGACATTTCTTTGGCACTGGCATTTAAAGTCACTAGATATGTGTGAATATTTTATTGATTTGTGAAAAAACAAGACGGCAATAGAAATGATGTATGCAATATATTTTTTCCTTACCACCCTAGGATATTCAAAAATAATGACAGGATACTACACACAACTTTTACTGATTCTTCAATAGATGAACGTGGTAAACACCATAAAACACCAGCTTTTGATCGCGATTTACTGAATCAACACGTTGAATCGTTTAACCCATTAGAACCACACTATAGACATGCACCTCTGAGGCGGTTTCTACCAAGTGATATAAATATAACTCAAATACATAAACATTTTTGTGATACATACCCGGATAGATAATAGTATAGGATCCCGCTATACAACGACCTTCACCGAGATGCTTATTTAATGAGACGTATTTTTTATGTTATTAAATATGCCAATAAATATATCCTATATGGGTTGCCTAACAAATTTCAGTCCAGAGTATTTTTAATTAATAATTAAAAAAAAATTTTTTTTTAAACATTGCACCGGTGTGATTATTAAATAAATTTGATACCAACCGAAAGTTTGAAGCCCATAGAATATGCAAACGTTAGGTTGCCTATTTTTTTCCGGTCACAACCACGGGTTGCCAGGTGTAAACAGGTAAATCTATACTAGCATTTTGCAACGGTCTGATTATTGAATCAAACTTAGATAAACTGAAAGATTATTTCATAAGGAACACGGTGGTATAGGGTTGCCTGCGAAAAATCAGTCCCGAATTACGGTTGTCGAATTTTAAATAATAAAATATCGCTGCGAGTGAATGTGTGTGAGAGAGAGGTCCCACACCAACCATCCCATGCGGTAGAAAAGGACGCAGCGTAGCAGCTGTTTAAAGTCCGCCCATTTAAAGAAGGAGAGTGCGCATGCTATTTGTGCTTGGAAATGAAAAGGATAGCGATAGACTCGTATATGCTGTGCATTATTTTGGAGTAGTTAATCAATACATAGTATAAAACAAAGTCGCTTTCGCTGTATGTCCGTATGTATGCTTAGATCTTTAAAACTACGCAACGGATTTTGATGCGGTTTTTTTTAATAGATAGAGTGATTCTTAAGGAAGGTTTGCATGTATAATACATGCATATTGCACCCGTGCGAAGCCGGGGCGGGTCGCTAGTTGGGTGCTAAGAATCCCCGGGCTACGAAAGGCCGACAACACCAACTGACCCTGGCTACGTACAACGGACGCACGCTACGGCTCGATGAACATTTGGCGCAGCTCGAGGTGGAGCTGAGAAATGTGAGGTGGCATGTTCTGGGGTTATGTGAGGTCCGAAGACAGGGGGAGGATACCGTAACCTTGGAATCCGGCCATCTCTTGTATTTCAGAGAGGGAGACCAACCATCACAGGGTGGCGTCGGGTTTTTGGTCCACAGGTCTCTCGCAGACAGCGTTGTAGAGGTCTCCAGTGTGTCGGCAAGGGTAGCGTACGTTGTGATCAAACTCACCAAGAGGTATAGCCTAAAGGTCGTCCAAGTATACGCGCCTACCTCGACATACTCGGATGATGAGGTAGAGGAAATGTATGAAGACATTATCAGAGCCTTGCACACCACCCAAAAGGCCCACTTCAACTGTCATGGGAGACTTCAATGCCAAAGTGGGAGTACATAATAGCGGCGAATCGGTAGTAGGACCACACGGATTTGGAAGCAGAAACCATAGGGGGCAAATGCTTGTCAACTTCCTAGAGAAGGAGGGACTGTTCTTGATGAACTCCTTCTTTAACCCATTTGAGACCGCCGTTCCCATATGGGCACAGCCATATAAGCGAGGTTATTTTTTCGATGATGAGGGTATTTGTGTATTGTATCACAGCAATTTAAACTTCAATGTATAGACTATTAGAAAATAATCTGCTGTTCTTGAATTAGCTCCAGAATTTATTGATTTTTCGGTATTGAATTTTGTGTTTGCATATTGCGTCATTACCAAAAACGTAAGTACATTTATTTCTTTATCGAATATAATAATAAGTACAAATGACGATTATTTTTACTTGCCGTTTATTCAATTGTAGATTCACATAAAAAAACTAACCATTGTTACATTGTAATTTAGTAAAATTTTCGATTTTTGGTTGGTGTCCCCAAATGGGGACAACGGGCACATAGCAGTAGTAATAGTTATTGATTTTTTTCAGGAATTATTTGCTAATAGACATGTCAAAGCGAGTGTTCACAAAGTCTAACGACTACAAGGGGCTAGAGGATGCTCTCGCGGCATTGGTAAGTGACTCTGATGATGGCGAGGAGTACGAATTAGTCACTATTCCACCTGAACCAAGCTGTCTTACCGATGAAGAAGAGGGGGATGAGGATGAGCTCGTGCAAAATAATTTACCACGAGACGTTCCAGGACGAGTAGAGGTTTTCGTTCGTAAAAATTTAGATCACTCTCCGCAGTGGGATGAGGATGATGATGAGCCCTTGTCTACATTACAAAGAAAGCGCCCACGTGTAGAAGATCAAGAACCTCGTTGGCACAAGTGCCAACCAACCTATGATGTATTTTATGGTGCAGAAGGTGTTTCACAAAGACAGGAAAATGTAAAATCAGCAATACGCAATCTGAACCCTGTTCAAATATTTGAGAAATTATTTGATGATAATATTTTAGAAATGATTGTACATAATTCTGAGCTTTACTCTTCACAAAATAACAGACACGATTTTCATACAACAACTCAAGAAATAAAAACATTTCTCGGCATAATGATACTTAGTGGCTACCATCAACTACCTCGAGAGAAATTATACTGGTCGCTTGATGAAGATTGTCAGGTAAACATTGTTTCTAATGCTATGTCTCGTACTCGATATCTACAAATAAAAAAGAACCTTCATTTTTGCGATAACATTGCTTCCGAGGGTACTACTGATAAAATGTATAAAGTTAGACCGCTGGCTGATATGCTACAAGAAAGATTTTTGCAGTGGGGTACTTTTCATGTAGACCTATCAATAGATGAGTCCATGATAAAATACTTCGGCCGTAATCCAGCAAAACAGTTCATAAAAGGCAAACCTGTTCGGTTTGGGTATAAAAACTGGATGTTGGCGAGTTCATGTGGCTATTGTTATGTTTTCGACATTTATTGTGGCAAATCTGCAATTGCACCTAGCAAAGAACCTTTAGGCTCAAGAGTAGTCAAAACTCTTCTTGAGAAATTGAATACAGACCCAACGGATCACATAACCTACTTTGACAATTACTTTACAAGCCACGGGTTACTCAAGGAGTTGCGGGACGCCGGATATCGTGCTACAGGAACTGTCCGGGAAGGTCGTACAAAACGATGTCCTCTAACCAATGTCAAAGAGATGAAGAAGAAGAATCGAGCCGATTATGATTATCGTTTTGATAAAAACAATAAAATATTATTTGTAAGATGGTTAGATAACAGCGTATGTACTATGGGGACTAATTTCGATAGTGTGGAACCCCTTGGCAAGGTGAAGCGATGGTGTTCAACCAGGCGCCAGAAGGTGGACGTCGATATTCCACATGTTTTTCAAAGTTATAACGCTGGTATGGGTGGAGTAGATCAAGCGGACCAGTCCATTTCTCTCTATCGGGTTTCATTACGTGGTAAGAAATGGTGGTGGGTGTTATTTACGTACATGCTGGATGTAACTATATCAAATGCCTGGCGCTTACATATTATGAGTTCGCAAAAAGATGATCGAATGGATCAACTCCAATTTCGCCGGTACATAGCCCGGTATTATTTACGCCATGCACCGAAGAAAGCCCGTCCATCAGCTTCAAATTTACCGAGTCTGCAATACCAAAACGGTGGCCATTTTCCTCAAAAACTTGCAAAACAGTTACGATGCACCGTGTGTCACGCAAAAGCTCGCTGGCAGTGTAAATTATGTTTGAAGACCCTATGTGTAGAAAAAATATGTTTTGAGAGTTTTCATACCGCATGATACCATTGTCCCCATATGAGGACTAGGCTATGAGGCTATTTATTATTGGAAAAAATGGCCAAAAAGTGTTTTTTGTGTGATTCGGATGACGGAATAATTGATTTTGATGATGAAACTTTTAAAAACTGTGCATTAAAGTTAGCTTTTCGTAAAAAAAAAAAATTTTAAATACAATTTTGTTGAGCTACCCAGTGCGTCACTCCAATTTGTAGGTTATCATACCACGTGCTACAAAAAAGTGACTGTTTTGAATAAAAAATATAACGAAGAATTTCTTAAATTTATCGCTGAATATACAGTAAGTACATAATAATTGAATCTTTAAAATTATCTAAGCTAATACATCTTCTATATTTTTGTCATGTTGAAGTAATTGCTAGTAAAACTCACTTATGGTTTTGTTAATTTTCGACACACATATTTTTTTTGTAATTCACTTAAAAAACGGTCTTTAGACCACAGTGAGAAGCAAAGAGTTGAATATTTGCCTCCCATAAATTCATCACCAACGTCGTATGCAGTAGTCAATGAAACATTAAACATGGCTAAAGAAATCGCTGAAAAATGTCAGCAGCCAGAAATTATTGTGAAATATGATTTAGCGATAGCAAAAATGGCTATGCAAATTCAAGAACAAGAAAAACCGCTATACAATAAAATTTTTGTTAACTTGGGAGCGTTTCACATAGAGATGGCATTTTTTAGAGCCATCGGAAAATATATTGACTCCAGTGGATTAGTGGAAATACTGGTGCAAGCTGAAGTATTAGCCGGCGGCTCCATGAATAGCTTTTTGGACAGCAAGCACTTCAATCGTTGCAAGCGCTTACATCCGCTAACCGCTGCCGCATTACAAATATTACATTTTGAACAGTACATAAATGTAAATGTATTTATCGACAACTAATGTTACACTTGAGGCGATGGATGAACTGCTGCAAACGCAAATACAGAATGCATCAAATCAAACTGCTTATGACGCCAACGAAACTATCGAGTTACCAGATGTATTGAGTCGAATTGTTAACGGTTATAAAGAATTCTGCAATCAGACTTTAATCGGAGAAAAAGGGAAAACTGCTCAATTTTATTACCAGTACTGTGAGTTAATTAATTTATACCATCGGTTTTCCAGAAGTATCCGCACCAGTAACTTTGAACTGTACGTGGACTCGATTTTCAACATGGCTGATATTTTTTTTGCGTTAAACCAGCCCAATTATGCCAGATGGTCCTTGTTATATTTGAGCAATTTAATCAATTTGTATACTAATAATTCATCTTTGGTGGCTGAATTTCGTCGAGGTGCCTTTGGAATTAGACGAACTGCAGCGAATTTCGCTCGATCACCGGTTGACTTGACGCTAGAGCAAACCATCAATGCTGATGCTAGCAATCAATTGGCTGATAACCTTGCTGCGGATTCAATATCTGCACGTCAAAGATGGGCACTCAGTCATAGCATGAGGACGAAGATATTAACATCTATCAAACAAAAAAATCGGATTAACGAAAGAGGATGATACTTCGCACTCATTGCAACGAAGTAAAATTAAGAAAGACAAGAAAAATCTTCAGAGTATCATTGAAGCAATAAAATGTACGATGAATCCATTTGATGACACTATTGACAAAGATACATTATTCAACATTTCAACCGGTAAAGCTGCATCGAAAGAAGTTACTGATTTTCTGCTGAACGTAAAAACAGCAGGCTCTCAACAAAAATTAAATTTTATCTCGGAATGCTCTTCAACTCCCGGAAGATTCGATAAATCAATAAAACGAAACAAAATCTGCAATTTTGCTTCTCAATGTATGACTAAAGTCTTGAGTACCAAAGACAAGAACAAGAAAGTATTGTTGAAAATGGAACGAGATGTATTTGGGCGACTTTTAGCAATAAGTCTAAACAAAAAAATTTATCTCGAATTTTGCCTAACTTATCCACTAGCACCATTGCCCCCTGCTCTTTTTGCATGTACTGGAGAGATGTTAAAAACTTCAAAATCAACGTTAGCAAAGGTTTTGAAATCCAAAATTAAAATGGTTGAGCCAACTCATATCAACGTTGAAATAATAGATGGTTTTTATTACTTGCATATAATCGGAGCTGCTATAGCTCAAACTTTTGATAAAATTGCCGAGTCAATACTCATAAAAATATGTTCAACAAACGCGACAGAAATACATTTAATTTTTGATCGCTACTTATCACCGTCAATCAAAGATTCCGAACGTGAAAGCAGAAAAGAATTCGATATTCCGTACAAAATTTCAGGACCTCAGCAAACTAGACCAAAAAATTTTTTGCAAAGCCTGAAAAATTATCGCTTTAAAGAGGCTCTGGTGCAGTTTCTGGCTGATTATTGGCAAAACGACAGTTTGGTAACGATAATCCAAAACAAAAAAAAATTTTTAACCGTCGACCATCATTGTTACTCTTATCAAGTTCAGGAAAATTCCGTAAAAAAAACTGAAGAAACTAATTATGAATGTCATCACGAAGAGGCAGATACAAGGATTATTTTTCATGCTTCTAAAGCGGAACCAGGCTCAAGAGTTTTAATTAAAGCCTCTGATACTGACGTTTTGATTATTTTGTTAGGAAATATGCACAAACTTATCGGATCAGAAATTTGGCTTGCCAGTTCAGCTACAAAAAAGAGTAATAATCAAACTGTTGATTGTATTAATTGCACCGATTTAGCGTTGGAGTTAGGAATTAAATTATGCCAAAGTCTTCCAGCATTCCATGCATTTACAGGTTGCGATTACACGGCAGCATTTTACAACAAAGGGAAAGTAAAACCTTTTCAGCAATTTTCAAAAAATGAAAAATATCAAACAGTTTTTGCGTCATTAACAGATGCTGCTGATATTTTCATTGGTGAAAAAATGAAGACTGTTCAAGAATTTACGTCTAGTATGTATGGTATCAGGAACTGTACCAGTGTGAATGATGCGAGACATCGCATTTTTTTGAAGAATTACTCTGCAAAAGAAGACAGCGAGTACTTTAAAAAAAAAATAAAAGGCTTCGACTCCAATTCCATACCACCATGCTGGATATCATTAACTCAGAAAATTTTACGAACTATTTTCGTAAATTCCATGTGGCTTAATGCAACGGAACCAATATGCGTGAAACTTGAGCCTGAGAACTGCGGATGGTACTTAGATGAATATTTAAAACCAGTAGGATTCATTGGGGATCATACACCTTTAAAAATAGAAGACATTGTCGAAAAAGGTGAAACAGAGAGTAATGACGAAGAAGATTCAGAAGTTGGAGATCACAGTTATATGTCCGATGACTCGGAACCTGAATAATTTTAAAAATTTTTGTATTTTAAATTTTTTTCAATAAACAGAAGTATTCTTTTAATTGTTGTTTTTTATTTCGGCTCCCAATAATAAAGATAAAATTTGCCAGATAAGTAATATGTTTTACTCTAACTGTCTTTTTTACTAAAGATGTGTATATACTTTAGTGTCACATAAACAATAAACATACATAAATAATTAATTGATTAAAAAATAAAAAATTAAATAACTATTTCTGTATATCAATAACTAGTGACCCGCCCCGGCTTCGCACGGGTGCAATATGCATGTATTATACATGCAAACCTTCCTTAAGAATCACTCTATCTATTAAAAAAAACCGCATCAAAATCCGTTGCGTAGTTTTAAAGATCTAAGCATACATACGGACATACAGCGAAAGCGACTTTGTTTTATACTATGTATTGATTAACTACTCCAAAATAATGCACAGCATATACGAGTCTATCGCTATCCTTTTCTTTTCCAAGCCCAAAGAGCATGCGCACTCTCTTTCTTTAAATGGCCGGACTTTAAACAGCTGCTACGCTGCGTCCTTTTCTACCGCATGGGATGGTTGGTGTGGGACCTCTCTCTCACACACATTCACTCGCAGCGATATTTTATTATTTAAAATTCGACAACCGTAATTCGGGACTGATTTTTCGCAGGCAACCCTATACCACCGTGTTCAGAATAAAATAATCTTTAATTTGATTTAAATTTCATCCAATAAACAGAACGTTGCAAAATGCTAGTACAGATTTACCTGTTTATACCTGGCAACCCGATAGTTGTGACCGGAAAAGAATAGGCAACCTAACGTTTGCATATTCTATGGGCTTCAAACTTTCGTTTGGTATCAAATTTATTTAATAATCACACCGGTGCAATGTTTAAAAAAAAATTTTTTTTTAATTATTAATTAAAAATACTCTGGACTGAAATTTGTTAGGCAACCCATATAGGATATATTTAT